AGAGAAGGAACTCTTGGCTGTAGTTTTTGCCTTAGAAAAATTCCATTCATATTTATTGGGTACTAAGGTGATTGTTTACTTTGATCATGCAGCCCTAAAATATTTGCTCGCCAAGAAAGAAGCAAAGACGAGGCTTATCCACTGGATTCTCCTGCTACAAGAATTTAACCTCGAAATCCGCAACAAGAAGGGTGCAGAAAATTTGGTTGCAGACCATCTTAGTAGGCTGACTACAAGTGAAGAGGCAACACCCTTGAAAGATGAGTTCCCAGACGAGCACCTTTTCGCGATTCAAGAAGGAACTTCATGGTATGCAGATATAGTTAATTATTTGGTTACTAGAACCATACCAGGAGAATTAACAAGGGCTCAAAGGGATATAAGGTAAGAAGCGATGCCAAGTACTACATCTGGGATAACCCATATCTGTAGAAGCAATGTTCCAATCAGGTCCTTTGAAGGTGCGTGTCCGACCCCGAAATCCCCTCCATTCTTCACTTCTTCCATTCATATGCCTGTGGGGGCCATTTTGGCCCAAAGGGGACAGCACGTAAGATACTGGAGTGCGGATTATTTTGGCCTACCCTATTTCGTGATGTTTATATGTTCTGCAAGGCCTGTGAACAAAGACAAAAGACAGGTAATTTAAGCCATAAAGACCAAATGCCACTTACCCCTATACTGATATGTGAAATATTTGATGTATGGGGTATAGATTTHATGGGCCCATTCCCTTCCTCTTTTGGTAATGTTTACATCCTACTAGTTGTAGACTATGTTTCGAAATGGGTAGAAGCTAAAGCTACCCGGACTGATCATGCGAAAGTTGTTGTAGATTTTGTCAAGTCCCACATTTTCTCCAGGTTCGGAATGCCTAGGGCGATAATAAGTGACCGAGGCACTCACTTCTACAACCGAGTGGTGGAATCTCTATTCAAGAAATATAATATCACCCATCGAATTTCCACTGCATACTACCCACAAACAAGCGGACAAGCCGAAGTGTCCAATAGGGAGATAAAATCCATACTTGAAAAAATGGTTGACCCTAGAAGGAAGAATTGGAGTCTGAGACTCAACGATGCACTATGGGCCTACCGCACAGCCTACAAAACTCCTATAGGTATGTCTCCCTACCGTTTGGTATTCGGCAAGCCATGTCATCTCCCTGTGGAACTAGA